TACAAGGTCCTCTTGTCTCCCTGCTCCATGAGCCTTATCATACCTCATCTTAAAGCTATGTATTGTACCTGTCTCCACTACATCGCTCGCCAGACTGTTCCACTTCCTGACCACTCTATAGCTGAAGAACTGCTTCCTAACATCCCTGTGACTCATCTGAGTCTTCAGCTTCCAAGAATGACCCTTGTTTCTGTGTCCCCTCTCTGGAAATATCTTGTCTCTGTCCACCTTGTCTATTCCACGCAGTATTTTGTATGTCGTTATCATGTCTTCCCTATCCCTCCTGTCCTCCAGTGTCGTCAGGTCGATTTCCCTCAACCTTTCTTCATAGGACATTGCCCTTAGCTCTGGAACTAACCTTGTCGCAAACCTTTGCACTTTCTCTAATTTCTTAACGTGGTTGTCCTGGTGCGGGTTCCAAAATGGTGCTGCATACTCCAGTATGGGCCTGACGTACACGGTGTACAGTGTTTTGAACAATTCCTTACTAAGGTATCGGAATGCTGTTCTCAGGTTTGCCAGGCGCCCATATGCTGCAGCAGTTATCTGACTGATGTGTGCTTCCGGAGACATGCTCGGTGTTATACTCACCCCAAGATCTTTTTCCTCGAGTTTCCACTTCCCCTTGGAGATAAGAGGAAATAAACGAGAACAAGAACTAGAAAGAAAATAGAAGAAAACCCAGAGGGGTGTGTATATACAGTACAGTAGTGTGACCTAAGTGTAAGTAGAAGTAACAAGACGTACCTGAAACCTTGCATGTTTATGAGACAGAAAAATGGACACCAGCAATCCTACCATCATGTAAAACAATTACAGGCTTTCATTTTACACTCACTTGGCAGGACGATAGTACCTCCCTGGGTGGTTGCTGTCTACCAGCCTACTACCTAGATATATATATATTCATATACAGTGGTCCCTCAATAATCGTCCATAATCCGTTCCTGGAAGTGGGACTATTATCGAAATGGACGATTTTCGAATCAATTTTTCCCATAAGAAATAATGTAAATCCAATTAATTCGTTCCAGACACCCAGAAGTATCAACAACAATTTTTTTTTTTACCTAAAAGATAGATTTACATGCACAAAAGAATGAACATTCAACATGACAGTTACCTTTATTGAAGGCTGTTGTTGATGAATGGAAGACAGGGAGGAGGAGAGAGGGAAGAGAGGTTATTTGGAAGGGGAATCCCCCTCCATAAGGACTCTAGGGCACTAATAAAATGTATAAATGAACATACCTGCCTAGTATAGGCCAACAGGCCTGCTGCAGTGATCCTCCTTTCTTATGTTCTTATGAGTGAGAGGGGTTGGATTTGAGTGGGACTTGCACATCAGAGCTTATTTCTTGGGTAGCATTGAAAATTGGGATGGGCAAATGTTATGTTAGTGGGATGAATTGTAAAGGACCTGCCTAGTAAGGGCCAGCAGGCCTGTTACAGTGTTCCTCCTTTCTTATGTTCTTATGGTAATAGGGGTAGTTGATGAGTGGAACGGTCTGCCTAGTAGGGTGATCGAAGCTAAAACATTGGGTAATTTCAAATTTAGGTTGGATAAATACACGAGTGAGAGGGGTTGGATTTGAGTCGGACTTGCACCTGAGCTTATTGCTTGGGTAGCATTTGTTCTGTTAGTGGGTTGGATTTGTGAAGGACCGGCCTAGTATGGGCCAGCAGGCCTGTTCCAGTGTTCCTACTTTCTTAAGTTCTTATTTAACATCACACTTACCAGTAGGGTGATCGAGGCTAGGACCTTGGGTAGCTTTAAGAAGAGATTGGACAAATATACGAGTTGGAGGAGCTGAGTTTCATTTGTGTCATTGGGTACGGGAGTAAATTCTTGGGTAGCTTTGGGTGGAGGTCATTTTGATAAGGACCTGCCTTGTATGGGCCAGTAGACCTGCAGTGTTCTTCCATTGTTATGTTCTTATTGGCTATTTTTGTGTGAAGGAGGGATGGCACGTTTATTGTTGGAGAATATGACACTAATACCAACTCTATGGCTTATTTATCTATCACAATTCAACTAATATGACATAATAAAAAATATTAATAACATAGAAACATGGAATATACTCTAGAATGAATAAAATAAGTCATTACGTATGTCACGAGAGGTGTTGTGTTGTGTTGTGTTGTTGTTGGGTATATAAGGGCCACTGAGTGTAAGCCGTCCATAATGGTGGTGAAACAGCAGCTGAGTCGGCGGTGGTTTTTGTAGCCCTATATAACTCCAACAACATTGGAGGAGTTGGTAGAATCACTGAATCTCTAAAGAAGGAACCCTCTACCACCATCACTACCACCAAAGAAAGCTTCTAGTGCCAGCCCTAGATGGTGGTGGTAGAGTGGAAGCAGGTAAGACACATATGCAACAGTTAGGTATCTTTATTATGAAACGTTTCGCCTACACAGTAGGCTTCTTCAGTCGAGTACAGAAAAGTTGATAGAAGCAGAAGATACTTGAAGACGATGTAATCAGTCCATCACCCTTAAAGTTTTGAGGTGGTCAGTCCCTCAGTCTGGAGAAGAGCATTGTTCCAAAGTATGAAACAATATGGAGATGAAGTGACAGGATGGAGCTTATATAGCGCCAAGAGGTGAGACGTAGGCCACTAGGAGAGGTAAGAACTCAGATGTTGAGAGGTCAGGTCCCTCTCAAATCCAGCCGCTCTCACTAGTGGAAGTTGTCGAAGTTGATTGCAGGTCTGTACCAAGATACCCTTGTGTTGCAGTGTCTGACAGATTGAACATTAAAATGGTATAAAATACCGACATAGCCTACTGTGTAGGCGAAACGTTTCATAATAAAGATACCTAACTGTTGCATATGTGTCTTACCTAACAACCTGTCGGTATTTTATACCATTTTAATGTTCAGAGTGGAAGCAGTTGAGATAGTGGTTGATGAACATAAGAACATAAGAAAGGAGGAACACTGCAGCAGGCCTGTTGGCCCATGCTTGGCAGGTCCTTTACAATTCATCCCACTAACGAAACATTTTCCCAACCCAGTCCTTAATGCTACCCAAGAAATAAGCTCTGATAACTCTATCTACTCATTTGGGACTTGCAAATGAGTGGATAGAGTTATCAGAGCTTATTTCTTGGGTAGCATTGAGGACTCGGTTGGGAAAATGTTTCGTTAGTGGGATGAATTGTGAAGGACCTGCCAAGCATGGGCCAACAGGCCTGCTGCAGTGATCCTCCTTTATGTTCATCAACCACTATCACAACTGCTTCCACTCTACCACCACCATCTTTGTATTTTTCTACAAACTTTTTCATAAATTATGTGTTTCTCACATTCTTTACAAAAGGTCTGGCACTAGAAGCTTTATTTGAAGCCATGGTAGCTTATTTAGCACTTGCAAGCACTAAAATCAATGGAATATTATGAAATATTTCGTAGAAGCATGTGAGGGGACCGTCACTCACTGGTAAACAATGGCACACTGGCTGGAAAGGAAAGGCTGAGGCGGCTCAGAGCGTGAGTATGCGTCCGGGACGAAGGACTATTAGGACTATTAGCGAGTTACTGGACCATTTGCGAGCCAATATTTTGACGAAAAAACAGGACTATTTCCGAAATGGACGACTTTCAGGCCGGACGATTATTGAGGGACCACTGTACATATATATATCACACACACTCAATGGCCACTTTATTAGGTAAACCTTTCTAGTAGTGGGTTGGGCTCTGCTTTGCCCCCAGAACAACCTAAATTCTTCATGGCATGGATTCAACAAGGTGCTAGAAACATTCCTTACAGATCCCAGTCTATGCTGACATGAAAGCATCATGCAATTGCTGCAGGTGTTGGCTGCACATTCATGCTATGAATCTCTTATTCCACAACATCCCAAAGGTTTATGCCACATTCTGCCCCTATCATCTGCATACTGCAGAAGAAATAGCAATTCATCAGACCATGCAACATTTTTCTAATCATCTTCCTTTCAGCTTTGGTGAGCCTGTGCCCACAATATTCTGTTTCCTGTTCTTAGCTGACAGGAGAGGAACCTGGTGTGGTCTTCTGCTGCTGTAATCCATCCACTACAAGCTTCACCATGTATTGTGCATTCAGGAATGTTCTTCTGCACAACACTGTTGTAATACATGGTTACTCGAGTTATTGTTGCCTTCCTGTCAGCTGTAACCAGTCAGTCCACTCTCTTCTGACCTCTCTCATTAACCCTTTCATTGTCCAGACCCCCAATCTGAAACTTTTCCACAGCGTCCGAGAATTTTCAAAAAGAAATTTTTATTATTTTTTATTGTGAAATAGCATAGAATCTATTTCTGAAGGCAATACAACAAAAAGTAGGAAATTTAATGAAAAATTTACGAAATTATGCTTTGTGAATATTGCTGTGTGAGCGATATTTACACATCAGCTATTTTGCCTATTATGAGTCCTATTTTAGGACAATTACATTGTACAGTAGACCAGATTCTTAGTTGTTTCACTAGTATGTCTTCCATTTTGTCAATTGAGCACAACAAACCACCCAGTCAACTATTTCAAGTACCTAATAAAGTGATCAGATATTGGTAATTTGGCCAATTTCACACACATTTCAAAATATTCCAGTTTCAAAATAGGGTCCAGAATTAACAATGCAGATATTCCTGGCACTAAATTAACATTTCCTCTGTTCATTAGTTAGGTTCCCAGGCTTTACATATGAATTATATTTTTATTTTTATTTATACAAAATAAAGATTTACTGTTATATTGTAATAATTGTACGAATAATATCAGCACATGAACGCAGATTAGATCCACCAGTTGGACATGTATTGGATGAGTGAGGTGATTTGTTTACTCTTCAACATCAGCAAAAATCAAACTTTTGCTACTTTGAAATCAATTTCAGGCTATTGTCAGTAGCCAGATATGGTTAGAAATGCTTAGGTTATAGAACAATTATGCACATAATACTTTTGAACAAAAGAAATAATATACATGTACTTGAAAACTTTCCAGGTGTTGCTACACAGCAGATTGCACAACCCCTGAATATAAGAAGCCCTGTAATGTTCAGACCTATCAGTGATGTAACATTCTTGGGACATGTTCAAGCCCAGGTTCAGACACAAACCAAAACCCATAACCAGGCGACTGGTACTAGAGAAGACTCATTCACACATAAGCTGGAGATTTCCAAAGACATTATTCATTCCTCGGGAAAGCTTCGTACACCAGCCATCGTCAGGCCATTTGAGTCGACACCCAGTGAGTCTGTTCAACTGCCTCAGACCATTACAAAAAATAATAGTGTACCTCAAACAGTAAAAACTAGTGAACCTGTAACTAGTCAGCAGACCAGAGTTATTGTAGGAAATGGTGAGCTCATCCCTGCCAGTGAGATTAAGAAAGAAGTTATTGAGCCTCGGGGAGTGTGGCAACCAGTGCAGCTGGATAAGACCAGCTGCAGTCCTGTACCTGTTGTGTCCAGTAACAGTGTACCTACAACTATTCCCAACTGTGTGTTACCTTCACCCACATCTATCAAACCTCCCTCAACACCTTCACCACCACCTCCACCTCCCCCTCCACCCCCACCTCCTCCTCCTCCTCCTCCTCCTCCTCCTCCTCCTCCACCACCACCACCACCACCACCACCACTCCACCTCCTCCTCCTCCACCCCTGCCACCAGAGACTTCAGTTAGTCGCTTGGATATAGAAGAACGAAGATTAAGAGAATTGAGAGAGGCAGGGTTGGAAGTTGAGGAAGCAGAGGAAGTATTACAGGAAGAGGCAATGGCTCAGCCCAGAGCTGTCATGCTGGTGTGCACAAAGGGTCCTCCGGCTCCACTAGATGCATCACAGGAGGTTAGTTATATTTGAAGTTTGTTTTCATGTGTTTAAAGGTAGAATATTTTGCATATTAATATCTAGTATCATTTGTTTTTTGGGCCATATTTAGCTCATCCTATGATTTAAATGCCCCCCCCCCCCTTTTTTTTTTTACCAACATCAGTTTCGCAATACATTTTAATACTTCACATCATTTAGCAAGTCTTCAATACTATAATCTTGGAATTATTATATTGAAGAAGAAACATTAAATGGGTATGAATCGTACACTGTTTATGGGAGAATGCTAAACCCTGGGGGTCATACAGAGCTTGGGGAATGGGAGGTAATATGTTCAGTCTGATGAAGGGGAGGAAAACTCCAATTCCTTGTATCATGAGCCCTTCACCACCATCAAAGCAACTCCTTGAAGGGTACTGGTGTGTGAAAATACTTGAATATGGTGTTATAGCTCACAGCTTTACTGTAAAGTCAAAGTCAAGCCTGGAATTTTGCCATAACTGAATAATATTATTAAAATGTACAGTGGACCCCCCTTTTATCGTAATTAATCCATTCCTGAGAGTGACTAAACCCGAATCTGACAATTTCCGAATTCATTTTTCTCGTAAGAAATAATGTAAATCCAATTAATCCATTCCAGACACCCAAAAGTATTAAAAAAAAATTTACATGAAAAATACATTTACCTACACAGAAAACAGTGAGACATGCAGAATAAAACAATAATAAAATGACACTTGCCTTTTTGAAGACTTGTTGTTGTATGGAAGACGGGAGAAGGGGAAAGGATGGAGGAATTACTATTGTTTGGAAGGGGAATCCCCTTCCATAAAGTCTTCAGGTACCAAGTCCTTTTCCGGGGTTACTTCCCTTCCTTGTTTTTTAATGCCACTAGGACCAGCTTAAGAGTCACTGAACCCCTGTCGCTCAAAAAAGTGTTCCAGAGAGGTCTGTTTCTGGCATATGTTAGGAATTATGGCAGCAGCAGGGGAGTTTTGGCAGACAGGACAAGATAGTCCTTCAATGTGACACTAATATCAACTCTACGGCTTACTTATCTAGCATAGTTCATCTAATATGACATGCTAAACAATATTAATAATATAGAAACATGATGTATACTCTAGAATGAATAAAATATGTCATATGTCTCTCTCCCTAACTGATGAATGCTGTTGTTTGTTGTTGGGTGTATAAGGGCCACAGAAAGATGAGCCTTACATAGTGGTAGTGAAGGCTGCAGCAAGAGGCGGCAGTGATAGCCAGTAGCCCTATATACCTCTAACAACATTGGAGGAGTCATTTCTGTGCTGTCCTTTTTCTATCGATTAATCGCTTAACTTACTTGCTACACTTTATCACTGGCTGGCGCTATAGCCTTTATCGACTCCTGCTGCTTTATTATCGTACATATCGCAGAATCACTGAAGAAGACACATTCTCTCCTCTCTCTCAGCCCTTTACCAAAGGGCTGGCTGGCACTAGGAACTTCCTTGGGACCCATGGTGGCTTATTTAGTAGTTGCAAGCACTAAAAATAATGGAATAACATGAAATGTATCATATGAACACATGGGATTGCGCTAACTGGCTGATAAACAGTGGCACACTGAGTGTCGGGCTGCTGTTGCCGTGCGGACGCGTTCAGGAAGAATGACTATTACTGAGCTCAATGACGATCACCGAGCCAATATTTTGATGAAAAAACGTTACTATTTCTGAATATTATGAAATCTGATGATTACGAAATCCGGGGTCCACTGTAATTGTTAAGTAAGAAAATATATTATGCCAATTTTAATTAAATTTTTTTTTGCAGAAAATGACATTCTTGAACAAAGTGGGTTTGACAACTCATGCCCATGCACAAGAGACTGAGTTGACTCAGTGTGAGCGTCGGGCACGTGTCTTGAGTGCTCTGGAGCCCTCATCTATTCCATCCTCCCTTAAACATAATGACTCCATCTCAGAGGACCTAGTGCAGTTGTTGGCCCCAGGCCACAGTTTACTGCCTGTGATAACTACCTCTGAGGAGTTGTGCCTAAGTCACGAATATTCTCATAAGGCACGCTTTCTTCATCATCTCGAGCTTCAGCCTCAGCATTCTCTACATCGCCAGCATGGTACTTTTTTTATTTTTTTAATTATATTTCCAGCACAAAAAATAATGTAACATTGGGAATTGGGATGCTCAGACTAAACTCTTCAGATGTCAGAATGAGCATGTGGCAAGCATAGCTCTAAAAGTTCTCAGGGATCTGTTTCCTTAAATAAGGTTCCAATGGCATTATAATGGAAATTAATTAGAAAGTAAAACCAAAGTGTTTGAGATATGGCAAATTTATTGAACATAATGTACTTTGAAGACACTGTAGTGCTGATTTATACATATTTCAAGTTTCTTCTAAGCAGCACCTCAGCAGCACATGCAATTTAAACTATATAAATATAGGTATATTTGCTTACATATAGCTCTAATGGTGTTATATTCATGGAGAAACAGTAAACCCACGGGGCATGGGAGGTAATTAGGTTTGATCCAAGGAAGGGGAGGGTAGTTCCAACTCATTGGAGCAAGGGCCTTTCACCTTTGAGGCACCCCTTTTTGAAGGATATATCATGGCATTAACATTATGGACTGTTCTTAAGAAAATACAACCCAAAAAAATATCTTAGTTCTATCAAATCTACTAAGTATATTTTCTAAAATAAATGTTTTTGAATTTGAGCTTATGCCACCACAGCATCCACATGCTGGCTCTACTCCCTCTCCTCAATTTTGGGAGATTTGCTAAATAACAGAGAATCATAGATCTCAGAAGAATTTCTGAGCCAGTGGACCGAATTTACGATGCTAGATTCTTGAGGTTCCTCTGATTATTTCATGTATTAATTTGATACAGTATTAGTTTTTCTTTGGTCACCAACACCAAAAGTTTAGTGCACCACCACAAACAGTTCCCTTAATTGTGAAGAATTTAAGGGTGATAGTTTTATAAAAACTATTTTTGTATGCCACAACATTAAGAAGTATTAGTAGAGAAAGATTAAGATTTATTTTATTATTTCTTCTGTTTTTCATAGGCAATGCTAAAGACTTACATGCTTCTTTCATCAAAAAATCTTTAATAAATTTTTATGACATACTGACAGAAGTGGAAGCAGTGTGGCAACTAGTTGTACAGGAACGATTACGCCGCTACCGCCAGGAAAGTTCAGACCCACTGGCAGTACGTATTTGTGAGGCGCTAGAGCAGTTACTGGCAGCCAATATAAACCAACAATCTCCACCACCTCCTTCTCCCAGTAACCCTTCACTTTCAGTTCCCTTGCTCAAGGTTGCTTCAACAACAACTCTTACACCAGTTTCCCGAACTCCAGCCACTGTTACTACAGCGGCAATTACCACAGCAGCGAGTACAACTACTACAACTGCTGCTGTTATTACAACTATGACTACTACCACTACTACTGCTGCTACTGTTGTTGCTACTGCTCCTGTGACTACTACTGCAACTTCAACTACTACCACCACAACCACTACTACTTCTCTTGCCACTTCCACCACTGGGGCAGCCAAAGCTACCACCACTGCCAGTAGTTTGGTTTCATGTTCAACGGTGATGTCAACATCTACCACTGCAATAACAACAGCAACAGTAGCAACATCTACACCAGTGATGGTTACTAGTCTACCTGTGACTGTAGCAACAACTGGTCATAATACAATTACTACCAGCTTAAATACTAAAGTGAGTGGAATTATCTACTTAAAATTGTAGGTTATGAGCTCTAGCTTTGCCTCATCTCTCTACTTTCAAATGAATCTCACAAAATATCTTTAATCATATTTGCTTTTGTACTCCTGTATGGAATCAACTCATATTATCTTGCTGCACAAATGTTTTGATTACTTTTCTGGTAAAATGCCCACCCTTATCAGTGGTGGAGTCACTTTTCCTGAGTGTATGTCATAATCACATCTTGGTCTTTATTGCTCCAGAAATGATGTAGGTCACTTCATTCTTTTCTCATAGCAATTCCTTTTATTTTTTTTTTATGCCATCTTCAACATTTAATCTATCATAAAATTTGTTTTTACTTTCTGGTGGCTGTAGTACTTGCTACCTTTTGGAACTCATTCCATTGTTTTACCACTGTATTTGCAAATTATTATTATAATCAAAAAGAAGCGCTAAGCCACAAGGGCTATACAGCGCTGCAGGGTAGGGAAGGAATCGAGGGTATTGGATGGCAGAAGGGAGGAGGGATGATCAGCAGGTTACAGAAAACAGCGGGGCAGGGGATAGTACGGGGGTAGAGGGTAGCAAGAGATTGAAGTAGAAAGGGCTGAAGGTATCAGAATTTGTGAAGTAAGTCAGTTGTTGTCAAAAAGTCAATGAGAGAGTCCGGATGAAAGGTGGGTCCATCAGCGAGAAGGGAAGGTAAAGAGAGAGCAGCGAGCGAAGACGACGACAGAGGTAAATTCTGCGTGCTTGTTGATAAAGTGGGCAGTCCAACAGAATGTGGCTGACTGATAATGGAGCTTGGCAATTCTCACAGAGAGGAGCAGGACGCCTCTCCATGAGATATCCATGAGTAAGACGAGTATGGCCAATGCGAAGACGGGAGAGAGTAGTCTCCCAACCTCGACACTGGTGATAAGAAGACGGCCAGTAACCTATACTCGGTTTAATAGATTGAAGTTTGTTGCCGAGCATAGTAGACCAATGTTGTTGCCAACGGGTGTGAAGGTGGGAAGATATTGCAGCAAAATAGTCCGTAAATGGAATACCTCTATAAGAAACTGGTAGGTCATGTACTGCTGACCGCGCAGCAGTGTCTGCCTGTTCATTGCCCTGTACGTCAACATGAGCAGGGACCCAACAAAAAAAATTATCTTTATGCTTGGTAAAGATGCGGCGTAGCCAAAGTTGGATACGGAGGACTAAGGGGTGAGGTGTATCAAATTTTTGTATAGCCTGTAAAGCACTAAGGGAG